TCAAGGAAAGGTAGGGCCTATAAGTGACGATTCAGGTTTAAGATACCCTGCTTCAGAGTGAATCTGGAGGGACATTGGCTTTGATTATCCACTGACAGCCTTACAACTCTATGATCCTATAAATAGTTAACAAACTACATGCTTGAAAGTGAAAGTTAATTAACATTCCCATCCAAAGTCTTTTAGAACCTTCTCCAAGGAATCAGCAAGTTCTTCTGTGTCAGTATTATCATACCAGTCACATTTATCATATCAATCAGAGTTTTCATGTGCACAGAAGGGAGAAAAGCATCATAATGACATAAATTCCAACAGCTGATGCACAAAAAGGTCCTTCCATATGTCCGCTGTGCACTCCCACACTTGCCAGAAGTGAATGTGAAAACTCTCTAAATGAGCTTGTGCCAGTCAATCTCTGTGCAAAATTAATCAAGAGAAGCATTCTGTGGCATATAACAAAATGCTGGGTTCTTCTTCTTACATGCAAATCAGTCGGCACTTCAGATTAATCATAAGGCATTTTCTCTGGTGTGTACCAGGGCAGAAATCTGCTATGTGACGTGAGGCCAGGTGTCCACATGAACATATGCATGACAAATCCTTAAACACTTCCCAAAGCATGCACAAAACGGTGGCCTCTACTATGGGGTGTCATCAATTCATCTATGAGACTGTGCAAGCAAAGCGAGTGCTGAAACTTATTCTGGGTTCTGCCAATAAGTAAGGTTGTAAACAAAAACCGGGGCCAAATTCTCAGAAGCAGGAGTTTGATTATGCTGTAGTAATTGTAAGATAGCTAAAAATAATCAAAAAGTGGGCTTAGCCGGGACAAAAATGAGTTGCAATTTAGGCAGGTTTTTAATTTTTTTTAAATAGCATTCATATCCACATACCCAAGACAGTTATTAAAAAACAACAACCCTACCCCGAGATATCCCATCCAGTTCCCAACCATTTTCACCTGCCTGTATGAGCATTCTGCCAAACTTGAGTACAATGCCAACATTTCTTCTACATTCTTTTACTCATATCAGTGTATTCTGCTGGGGCATATGGAAGACTCCCTCTGTACTGGGGGCAATCCCACAAAACTCTTGATTAACATTTCTGGAGGCACAGGATGACCTTTCAAGATCAATTAAATGTGTTTCAATCTAGTGAGAAGAGGCTCAAAATTTCTTCTTGGCATGACGCAAGCAAATGGAACTTCGGAAGAGTTCTTAACAGATTTAGCTGCAGCCAAGCATGTGCCCATGTGCCTCTTAACGAACAGTATGTTTTGTTTTCAGCTCAAACCTGCATTGCTCCTGTTGTCTCAGAACTGCCCCAAGTTGTTCAAGAGGCAGCACACTTACTAAGGAGTCCCTTTGAACTCAGTGGGATTTACTTTTGAGTAAACATACTGAATAAACATTCAATATTTATTGCAATGTTAAGTATGGGTTCAGTTGCAAGATGACAATAACAGTAAGGTAAAGGTAAAGGAGGGACGCGGGTGGCGCTGTGGGTAAAAGCCTCAGTGCCTAGGGCTTACCGATTGAAAGGTCGGCGGTTCGAATCCCCGCGGCGGGGTGCGCTCCTGTTGCTTGGTCCCAGCGCCTGCCAACCTAGCAGTTCGAAAGCACCTCCGGGTGCAAGTAGATAAATAGGGACCGCTTACTAGCGGGAAGGTAAACGGCGTTTCCGTGTGCGGCTCTGGCTCGCCAGAGCAGCGATGTCACGCTGGCCACGTGACCCGGAAGTGTCTCTGGACAGCGCTGGCCCCCGGCCTCTTGAGTGAGATGTAGCTGCTGAAGAGCTTGCAGTAGCTTGTTAAAAGAGAACCTGTGCTGAATTCAGCCCAGGATGGCAGAGGAGCACATCTGCCTTGCTACTATGTGATGCAGAGATAGGGAGAATACTAAAGCGTTCATGAGAATAAATTCCTTGGTCATAAATTGGTCCTGTTGTAGCTTGTACTGTGATCTGTGGGAAACTACTCTGGCTTTGGTGGTTTGTGGATCACAATCCACACCATACATTTAAAGCACATCAAATGGACATTAAAATCACATGATTCCTGCCCAGAATCCTGGGGACTGTAGTTTGCCCCCCACAGAGCTACAATTCTTAGTACCAAACTACAGTTCCTAGGATGGGGGGACCATGTACTTTAAATATATATTGGAAGTGCTTAAAATGAGATGGCTCAGTTGGTAGAGAATGAGTCTCTTAATCTCAGGGGCGTGGGTTCGAGCCCCAGATTGGGAAAAGATTCCTGCATTGCAGGTGGATGGACTAAATGACCCTCCTGGTCCCTTCCAACTCTACAGTTCTATGATTTTATGAAAATTTTATGCATGGTGTAGAGGATGTACATATCTGGATTTTATACTACCAGCTAATTTTGTATGTCCACACATCAGCTGCAGGTTCCTAAAAAGGACACCATTGCCAAAGCAAACTGGCAGTTAGCTCATGGAACACCATAAAGTGCAAACATCTGGATTATATTACAGAAACATTTAATAGTGTTTTCAGCCCCACCATGTCCCTGGCCGAAAACGTGTTTGTGATTTGACTTTGTTCATTGACATAAATTCCTTCACATTTGAATGTCTCATTGAAAGGCACATAGCAGAATGCTCCATCACACAACTGAAGGAGTGACAACCTTAAAATGAATCCCAGAAGCTGGGAATCCCTCTGGGTGTATAAGGGCTAGTAGTGGGCATCTTGGTCGTGTCATTTATTAAGCCAAAGCATGTGCTTTCAAACAAGAGTTCAAATACTTTGGGATGAAATTAACAACACATAAGCACATGCCCTTCAGGCAGACCCTAGTCCACACCCATTTCTGTAAAAAAAAGACAAAAAAACTTTGGAATGCAATGGGTTTGTCCTTCTTGCACCCGATGCTTTGATCACTTTAACAACACAGAAGAAACTCGCCCCACACACTAAGATTAAATTGACGACAGATGAAGCACTCAGGAAAAAGTGCATCACACATACAGCCAGCAGGCATAGTACTGAGGACATAGCCATGTGCATCAAGGAGGGATTGATTCAGTATTAGCAAAAAGCATCCCTTGTACAGGCAGCAGATGTGTAGCCAATCTTATGCACATTTACTCAGAACTTAGTCCAATAGAACTCATTTCCAAGGACTTGGAAGGCTAATATGGTGACCTCCAGATGTTGTTGACTCCACTTCCCATCATGCCCAACCATTGGCCAGGCTGGTGGAGGCTGATGTGAGCTTGAGTCCAACAACATTGGGCAGTGGAGCCAGGCACCACATTGCCTACCCAGCTTCAGGAAGTATACATAGGATTGCCACTTTGAACATTCAGTATTTTTCAATAGTATGGTGATTTTACTCCTGAAGAAAAATAGTTGAAAAGCATGGAATATGAACTCAGATTACTCAAAGTTTAACTAATTCTTCACCCACAAGACCACACTGATGGCATTTTTAGGATAGGCTACACTTTGCAAATGTTATCTGGGCTGCCCTCACAACATTATGTGTTAGGGCTTGGCAGCATAATCCGTATTGAAGTTTACCTGTGCCACCATTATATTAGGGGCATGACATTCAAATGTTCCAAAAACTAGTGCATCTGTAGTTTTACAGATGCCATTTATGTTGATTTTATGTAGATTGTTTGGATAAGAAATAAGGCTCCCTTTTCACACATCACACAGATGATGGAGGCAAGTGGAACACATGGCCACTTAAGGGTGGGGCCAGCAAATGAAGTTCCCCTCTCCATTCCACAAATTTACTGTACACATGGATGTGACCCTCTGAACAGGACTATTATCTCTAGGATGATGATTCCACTACTTTGTTTTCACAGGGAGAGGATGGCTCTGTAGTCTAAACCACTGAGCCTCTTGGGCTTGCTGATCGGAAGGTCAGCAGTTTGAATCCGTGTGACAAGGGGATCTCCCGTTGCTCTGTTCCAGCTTCTGCCAACCTAGCAGTTTAAAAGCACAAGTAGACATATCGGAACCGCTCTGGCGGGAAGGTAAACGGTGTTTCCATGCACTCTGGCTTCTGCCATGGTATTTTGTTGCACCAGAAGCAGTTTAGTCATGCTGGCCACATGACCCAGGAAGCTGTCTGTGGACAAACACCGGCTCCCTCAGCCTGAAGCAAGATGAGCGCCGCACCCCACAGTCGCCTTTGACTGGTCCTTTACCTTTTACTTTGCTTTACCTCCACACTGAGACAGACATGCTGAAGGGGCACACACCTAGTCAGTCCAAAGACCTTTTGAAACCAGTATTTTAGTTTCCCAGGAAACAAAGAGTTCAAAGTTACCAAAGATTTCAAAGCGAGGCTGTGGAATAGAGTTGCTGGGTTGGACTTCACGGAAAAGTTCCACACCATCATTTTGGGCAAGGGTACCAACTCGAATAAAATATGGGGGCCAGTCCAGGGGGGCAACTGCCCCTCTAAATCAAGTAAATAAATAAAAATACTTAACCAACTGACCAACTGCATTGCTGATAGTTCTGTTCTGCTCCCGCTAACACAAATACTGGCTATGCCCATGGGCCCTGGTAAGGTCCGCTCTGCATAATCGATCACACTATTTGAATGGCAATGTCCATGAATTTTGGGGGCCCTCAAATATTTTACCGGGGGGCCAAAGGGACCTAAACTCCTAGGAGTTGGCTCCTCTGGTCTTGGGACTCGCCATGCAAAGCGTCGCCCTCAGCATACCAGTCTTGGCCTCATGCCCTGAAGGCATCTGGCTTGAAACTGCGGGAGCCGAATTCTCTTTGCGTTGCCTGCCTATCTCACCCGCCAAGCGCGTCGCACTCTTGCTCGCACTTTCTCGGCCTTTGGACCCCACTTGGTAACCATTAACACACGCGCCCCATTTACTTCTCTCTCTCTCTCTCTCTCTCTCAGCTACCATTCCGCCCACCTGGGCGAACGGGCTCCGGGGTCCCGCCCGCCTTTCTAAGAGGCAGAACGAGAGCACCCGACGCGCCATCCCCTCGCGCGCCTCGCTAGTTCCGGCGAAAGCCGAGTAAAGCCGCGGCCTTCGCCCCTCCTTCGCCTCGGCGCGTCCTGGAAGCAGCACCGCCTCTTGCCCGGCGTCACTTCCCCGAGAGCAGCTGGAGAAGGAGAAGATGGCGGCGCTGGGGGAGCCGGTGCGGCTGGAGAGAGGTGAGAGCAAAGGCAGGCGGGCGGGCGGGCGGGGAACGGCTGGCCTCGGCTGCAGCAACGGGAGAGCCAGATCTACTGAGCGATGCCCTGCAGGGGCGACGTGTGTCTTCGCCTTGGGGAGCGGCAGGCTAAGCCCCAAAGCGTTATTAGGTCCTGAGGCTGGTCAGGGTAGGCGCAACTACTTCCCTGCAGCAACAGCAGCCCCGCAAGCCTCCGCTAAGAGTGGGGAGAGGAGGTGCCCTTGCCTCTCCCCTCCCCCCCGCCGCTCCCACACCCAGAGATCCTCCGCAGCAGTGCTCCAGCTTAGGTGGCTTAAGAAGAGGATTAGAGAAGTGCCAGGCTTACTAGCTGGGATGGCCGTCGCAAGTGGGGAGCGCGCGGCTGCCGAGAGAGAACCAGATGGGGGCGTGGTGTCCGGCCCGGCGGGGATCTTCTTCTGTTCTTGGCTCCCTCCCTACGCCCGTCTGTCAAAGCAGCCTCGGCTGCTTCTTTCTCTGCCTGGTCCGGGTCAGCTGGTGCTGAGCCAAGACCGTGCCTTGCGCGCTCCCCTGTGGGTCGGGGTGCGCAAGGAGGTTAATGGACAACACAAGGCCCCTGTGGAGCCAGCCGGTTCTCTGGCTGCCAATATTGGTGTAAAGTTATGGAAGTTTTAAATCGGAGTTCTTAGGCCTCGGTGGAAAATGCACTGTGAGCTGCTACTAGGTATAGTTAGTTGGGAGGGTTTAATTTATGAGCCTAGAAGCATCTAGGCCTCCATCTGCACTGTACATTTAAAGAGCATCATACTGCTTTAAACGATCATGGTTTCCCCCAAAGAATCCTGGGACTGGGAAGTGTCGTGGGCTAAAAGTGCTGAGTGCTTTTCGGATACCTCCTCTTCCCCTGAGGGATGGGCAGTTTTCAGAGTAGTTTAACAGTCAGTATGTCTTCCCTGTAGGGACGCGGGTGGCACTGTGGGTTAGACCACAGAGCCTAGGACTTGCCAATCAGAAGGTCGGCGGTTCGAATCCCCGCGATGGGGTGAGCTCCTGTTGCTCGGTCCCTGCTCCTGCCAACTTAGCAGTTCAAAAGCACGTCAAAGTGCAAGTAGAAAAATAGGTACCGCTCCAGTGGGAAGGTAAACGGCATTTCCGTGTGCTGCTCTGGTTTGCCAGAAGTGGCTTAGTCATGCTGGCCACATGACCCAGAAGCTGTACGCCGGCTCCCTCAGCCAATAAAGCGAGATGAGCGCCGCAACCCCAGAGTCGGCCACGACTGGACCTAATAGTCAGGGGTCCCTTTACCTTTATGTCTTCCTTAGGAACTCGGGAACTGTTGCTCTGTGAGGGAAGGAGAGCTCTCTGTGACTGCATAATGCTAATGCAGACTGAAATAATGGATTCCTAGGCACAGAATCAAATTTACTGGGTTATGTTTTTTACAGTGCTGCAGCAAAATGTTGTCGCAAGGGGTTCTAGGAACCAGCCAGCTATATTCTTTTTCCAGGGTGCTCCTACACTCACCTCTGCCCCCATTTGGTCAACATTTTGTGGTCACTGAATATGCTCAGTCCTCATTGAGCTGAGTTTTACAGGAAAGGCTAGGTACTGAATCTTAAGAACTGCTGCATGTCCCCAAACTTTTAGGTGAACTGGTGTGATTAAACAGGATTTAGGCTTTTAGCTCTGAGTTATCCTGAAGTGTAATGCACATATATTACTTATAACATATATGGCATTATTTGTGTGTGTGTGTGTGTGTGTGTGTGTTCCTCAGAGCTTGTGTGGTTCTTGCAACTGGTAGACGAGGGTTCAAATATCTCATTAGGCATTAAATCACTGTTGGCCTTGTTGCCTTAGATACTCAAATATATAAGCTAATCACTAAATGACTCCTTAAACCTAGTTACGGCCACCAAAGCAGAATATCTAGGTGTCTTTTTTTGCTTACAATGATTTTTATCATCATCATCATCATCATCATCATCATTAGTCATTTCTATATCACTTTATATTTTAAAACTCAAAGCACATTACAACACATTAAAACATCAAATAAAACAATCCAGAATAAAGCAAATTCAAGCTTCAAGGAAAATATTTCAAATCCTTCTCCAAATGAGATTTTGCTTTCCCTGTATTTATTTATTTACTCACTTAATTTGTATAGCTGCCCCATAGCAGAAGTACTGTAGGAAGCCAGTGTGGTGTAGTGGTTAGATAGTCAGATTGGGAGATCAGGGTTCAAATCCCCTCTCAGTCATGAAGCTCACTGGGTGACCCTGGGCCAGTCACAGGCTCTTAACATACCTCCCAGGACTGTTATGGGGATTAACGGAGGGGGTGAACCATGTACTCCTTAGAGAGAAAGGTGGGATATAAAAGCTGGAGGGGGCAGCCAGATGGAGATGTCAGTCGCCAACCTGGCATTCAGAGATCTCCACAGGGTCACAATTGGAGTTGCAAAACATGCCTGGCGCTTGGTGAATTTCTAGCACTGCTCATGAAGAAGGGTCTCAGTTATTGATCACAGGGTTTGGGCAGGTTCATAGTACTGCTGATACAAAGTTTTCATATAATTGTTGATACAAAGTTTTCATAGAATTGCTGAAACAAATGATGACATTTTTAAGAAAACAGAATAATTGTTACTTTGCAGTGATGTTGAAGAAATGTACATTGTATCTTAACAGTATTTCAATAGAAACTAAACTTGGCAAATACAGTGGTACCTCGGGTTACATACACTTCAGGTTACATACGCTTCAGGTTACAGACTCCGCTAACCCAGAAATATTACCTCGGGTTAAGAACTTTGCTTCAGGATGAGAACAGAAATCGTGCTCCAGCGGAGCAGCGGCAGTGGGAGGCCCCATTAGCTAAAGTGGTGCTTCAGGTTAAGAACAGTTTCAGGTTAAGAACAGACCTCCGGAACGAATTAAGTACTTAACCTGAGGTACCTCTGTAATGACCAAGTAGGCTATTTTTTAGTCAATTGTCAAAGTATTGATGGCTCAAGCTCCTGGGCCGGGGGGGGGGGGGATCAGGATCCTGTGTTTTATGAGGGAACGGTTCAGATAAAGAAAAAGGAAATAGCAGGTTAAAATGTAGTGTCTGTGTAAAGCTATGACAGAGGACAAGATTTAGTATCACTGATGACTGACCTCTTCATTAGTTATGGAATGAAGTCAAACAGCATCACCCATGCAGCTTGCTGTATGTGCAACTTTAAGCACTGCACCCTGCATGACTGCTGCTCAAGCCCACCCCAAAAGTAGTGTTCGACATCTGATGTTCAGCCTTTGAATCTCTTGCCACTGCCAGAAACATTTCCCCCCTTTGTACATGCATGATTCCAAACAGAACTGGGTCACCAGCTCACACTGAAAAAAGGATAGGGAATGTGCAAACACCTCTGGGAAATTCTTCTTGCCTAATTGAAATTCTTTTACTGTCTTGGAGAGTACTGTTTTCAAAACGTCCATGCTAGGCAAAATTCAATAGGAACTCTTAACAACCCAGGAATTCTCAGAAATAAAAGGGAGGGTGTAACTGAGCCAGTTAAAGTCATGATGATATTCTCCCATGAATGGATGTTGTGTAACCCATATAATTGACAATCAGTTGTCATGTTTTAGTTTTCCAAATATGGCTGGGTTTGTTTGTTTTTAAAACTTCTAACATTCATTATACAGTAGTGGCTTATTGTAACCTCATAGTTGTTTTGAACAACATTTTATCCTTTGCTCCTCAGTCATTCAAAGAAAATTAAGTAATATTTGCAAATAAAAATAAAAATTGGATGCTTGGACTCAGCTGCTGGCTCTGCTCTTTGTCATGCAAATGCTGTGTTTTTATTTCTAATCTTCAAAGACTAAGCTTTGGGAAATGCAATTTTTTTGCTAAGTTGTTGTTTTGATGGGTAACAGAGGCAACAACAGATGACTTAATTTTTTCCATGCTCCATAGTGAGCGCATGCTTGGTTGTGGAAGCAAATATTTAAGGAAGATGTTAGAATTGATAGTGGAGAAAAAGTTAAAATGCCTTGTGTTTCCATGAAGTCTTGGTGTTGAGATGGCAGGTGTATCCGGCAGCAATAACATCTGTACTTAGCTTCCTGTCAACAGCTCATAGCATAATGGTCAATGCCTGACTGATCATCCTATGGAAATGTACTATTTCAGAGGCTCTGGTTTCTATTCAAATGCAAGGGTATTATCAGTGTCCTCTTCCCCTTGAGCCACCTTTTAACTTAATCATTTGGGTAAAATGTTCTCTGTGGTCTTTCCCTCTACTCAAGCAGTTTCAAGTGTGTTTTGCTTGCAGGAGAGGGGCCCCAAGCTTGTTACAGCAACCATATTCACATTTTCTTCCCCGAGGGAACATTTTGCACAGAGCTGTCTGCTTTGGGAACCATGTGCATTGTCTGTTGGTGACTTCAGGAGTATGTTCTAATCTGGAGCATAGACGGTTCATGTATCAGACCTTGTCATCTAAGCATGTGAACATTGAACAGAGCCTAGAACAGTATTTATTCTGCTGCTTTGGGATGGCATTTAATTCTCCATCTGCATATTACAAAGGAAGAATGGTAGAGGGAATCCAGATTATTTTTCATGAACGTTTGTCTGCCACTAATAAAGAATCCCTAATAGGTATACATTGCAAGGAACAAGGTTTGCCTGAAACAGGAGAGCTGATGATCATCAGGATTCTGTCCTTGGGATTTTGTTGACAAGTATATTGGTCTGATGCTCATTAGTCACGGAACAAACGTTGAAGAGCAAGTTGGTACAAGATCTGTACTGGGTTTTTCCTGCTCCAGATGAATGGGAAGGAGTGCTTTCGAATGTTACTCTAGCTGTGTGGGAGCGACATTTCTATGAGTGGCTCCCACACAGTTGAGGTATATAGGCTGATCACATGGTCTGATTCACTAGCCTAATTCAATGGTCAGAACCAGTATCATTACCCTCTGAGTAGATTTTAGTAGTTCATGTTCTTTCCTTGCCTTTCTTTTTACAGACATCTGTCGGGCTATTGAGTTGTTGGAAAAGTTGCAAAGGAGCGGAGAAGTGCCCCCACAAAAACTACAGGCTTTGCAAAGGGTCCTTCAAAGTGAATTCTGTAATGCTGTGCGGGAGGTATGTTTTTGAGGAGTGTGTGGAGAATGTATAGATCAGTGTCTTCTCATTAATATTTGGGAGCTACACTGGGAATTGCCTTCTCTTGAAGTGCAGTTCCAAGCAAAAAGATAATACAGTGGTATCTCTGGTTGCGAACGGGATCTGTTCCGGAGGCCCATTCGCAATGTGAAAAGCCCGCAACCTGAAGCACCGTATCTGCACAGGTGCACAGTGCGATTTGGCACTTGTGCGAATGCGCAAAGCATGATTTAGCGCTACTGCGCATGCGCGAGCGGTGAAACCCGGAAGTAACCCTTTCCGGTACTTCCAGGTCGCTGCAGGACACAACCTGAGAAAACATAACATGAAGCAAACATAACATGAGGTATGACTGTAGTGAATGACAAACCAAGTTTCCTGATTCACAACTCAATGCATGCATGCAAAATTATAGTTAATCCGCACAGTTCATTTGGAAATATTATTAATGTGGTTTGATTTAGTCATCCCCTATCCAATAAATCACATACCTGGTTTTTCTTTCTTTCTAAAGGTATATGAGCACGTGTATGAGACTGTGGACATCAGCAGTAGCCCAGAAGTGAGAGCTAATGCCACAGCCAAGGTAAGACTCCTATTTAGGAAGGGTTATTATGTTAAAGCTCAACTGGCAGCTTCAATCTATAAAAGCTGAAGTATTAGGCTATGAAAATATTGCAGTGAGCTGTGCTTTTGAGCTCAATGGGAATATCCGTGAAACAAACACTTTAAACAATTGTAGGCTTAAGATAAACTGGGAAGAATGAAAGGGCTCCTTACCAAAGACAAAGTTTTCCTATAGCAGTTCCCTATTTTAAAGTTGTTGTTTTTCTGTTAATGCACTGAAGCAGTTAATGTTCACTAATGCACTCTCATGCGGATGCTTTTTACATGTTTATTGACTGCCTTTCTACCCCAATGCATGGGATGCTAAAATAGCATTCTTGCTGAACAGTCAGTGCATTGGATAAATGCCTGGTACAGTACAAGAATGTGGAGGGTTGGGATTGTTAGCACCTGTTACTATGAGGATGTTGAAGGGGGTTCAAGACAGGGTGATGTATACTGCCTCTGCTTAGAGCGCATTCTGCTGTGTAAAATGACTCTCATTTGTACATTTGTTTACTTGATTCCAGTGCCCAAGTTAAAAATGCATAGTAGTGCATCTGTTATGAGGAACTCGTGTGTGTTTTCAAAACACACGCAAGGGGAACGGAGGTCCTTTGGCTGGGTCGGGACGATATGGGATTGGGGGGGGGGGCAACTCCCATCTCTTGCGGGGATGCAATTAGTGCCAGCACCATCCGTTAAGGGTGCAATCTTCAACACCTCCTTTCCATGGAGGCGCAGATTACAGCTATAACAAAGGTGGCATTTTTTCATCTCCACCAAGCTAAGCAGTTGGCTCCTTACCTCTCTCGCCCTGACCTAGCCACTGTGATTCACGCGACGGTCACCTCCAGACTTGATTATTGTAACTCACTCTACGTGGGGCTGCCCTTGAGACTGACCCAGAAACTCCAGCAGGTGCAGAATGCCACGGCAAGACTCCTTATGGGGTCCTCGCTGCGAGATCACATTCCCCCGGTGCTATACCAGCTGCACTGGCTCCCGGTGGAGTACAGGATCAGGTTTAAGGTGCTGGTTTTAACCTTTAAAGCCCTATACGGCCTAGGACCCTTGTACCTACGGGACCGCCTCTCCTGGTATGTCCCATGGAGGACCTTACGGTCTTCAAATAAAACACCTTGGAGATCCTGGGCCACAGGGAGGTTAGGCTGGCCTCAACCAGAGCCAGGGCTTTTTCAGCCGTGGCCCCAATCTGGTGGAACGCTCTGTCCCAAGAGACTAGAGCCCTGCGGGACTTGACATATTTCCGCGGGGCCTGCAAGACGGAGCTGTCCCACCAGGCCTTTGGCCAAGGCACAGTCTGACCCCCTCCTTCTGTAATCCTCATAGAACTCTAGCCCAGTGGTTGCCATTAATTTGACTCTGAATTGATTTTAGAATGAATTGATTTTAGAATGTATTTCAATTAATTGATTGTGATTTTATGTAAACTGTGGTATTTTTACTGTTGTTATCCGCTCTGAGCCTGGCTTCGGCTGGGGAGGGCGAGATATAAATAAAATATTATTATTATTATTATTATTATTATTATTGATATTATTGATATTATTGATATTATTCACCTTTGTAAATGTATCATCAAAGAAAATGCAGTTATTAGTGAAACAGTGCATATGTTTGGTTTATTTGCCTTTTGTTTTCCCGTGGTTTGGAGTACAAACCGTCTTCAGAACAGCAGCCCAGAGATTGAAAATACTCTGAAGTACATTTGCAGGGGATGCACTTGTATTGGCAGTATTTAGCTAGATGCTTTGAAATATATGCCTTTGAGATAAGACAGTGAATAAGATTCCAGACCTTGTGAACTATGGGGAGGAAAATGAGATTTCCATGTTTTGCAGGCCACTGTTGCTGCCTTTGCTGCCAGTGAGGGTCATTCCCATCCCAGAGTCGTTGAACTACCAAAAACAGAAGAAGGGCTCGGATTCAACATCATGGGCGGCAAAGAGCAAAATTCTCCAATCTATATATCCCGAATTATCCCAGGTGGTATTGCTGATAGACACGGGGGATTGAAGCGTGGAGACCAGCTTCTTTCTGTAAACGGAGTGGTAGGGATGGAATTTAACTTCCACTTGTAGTAGCTACCTGTGACCGCTTGAGGGCATTGAGGAGATGTTGATTGCTTGGTCTTGTGTGTATTATGCAGTATGAAAAAAACAGGTTTATATTTTCCTTTTGCAAATCGTAATGGAGAGTAAAATATTATGGAGCGTGTTTTAGATTTGCAATTCTAAGTTCACTAGCACTGATAGAAGCCTGCTGTTATGCGAGGAAACATTTTTAATTAATAAAGCAGGTGGATACACATATTTTAGAATTGGATCCCAAGTTTGTTGAAATAACATTAGCAAGATGTTAGTAAAATAGTTTATTACTAATAGTCTGTTAGTAAAATAGTCATTGATGAGAAACTGCCCATATGCAGTTTCTCAGACTATTTTACATACTATGCAACTTTAAATAAAAAAAATATTTTCTACTCTTGAGACCTGTCAGCTATATTTTGGCTTAACCTACCGCACAGGATTTGTGAGGATAAAATGATGAGATAGCCTCATGCATACCACTTTGAGCTCCTTGCAGTCTAGGCGAGATAAAAAATAAATAATGAAGGCTGAAGGTATAGGGGCAAAATCCTGAAAGGATGAGGCTGTGCTTCAGAAATTTGATATTGTGTGTGTGTGTGTGTGTGTGTGTGTGAGAGAGAGAGAGAGAGAGAGAGAGAGAGAGAGAGAGAATTTGGATAGAAAAGGACCTAATCCACTGTGCTGAGTGGACTTCACCTCCCAGTTTTCACACTTCCCAAACGTGCCAAAAAATGTATCAAAATGCATTTTAAAATAATCTGCTTTTGGAGGGAACAGCATGATAAGCATGGATTGAGTGAACCCATGTAAAAACAAACTAGAGATTCATCCCTTTCTAGTTGTGACTCCTTGAGTTTTCTCTGTCAAGTTACCTCAGAACACCTGAGGTAAAGCAGTTCTCCCCATACAACGCTACTTTGCACGCACATTTACTTTTTTCCTAAATGCGGTTAAAATGTAGCAACGGCCAGCAGCTCCTTGTTCCATTTTCCTAATAGGTAGCCACTGGAATAGCTCACAGCAACTCAAGTCCTCCCACAATGAACTATTTTGGCAGCTGACTAAAGGAGTCATTGACACTCAGCTGACCAGTCCCCACACAGCCTTCCAGCTGGTGGGTGGCACTGAGAAAATCCTTACCTTTCTATAGACTCATTCATTTGTCCTGGTAACTTCAGTTGGGGGAATTAACTTTGCCAGGCAATCTGGCTGTGCCCTGATAAGGTGGGGAAATCCTGGAAGTCTGGCAATCTACCTAGGAACACATCGGGACCCATTTACACATCATGACTGACATTTTGAGAAGCACTGTTGTAAATGAAACTTTTGCAACTGCCCTTTTCTTCCCCCTACCCTTAAATATGTGCTTAATTGTGAAAGCCACGAATTACCTAGAACAGATAACGTTATGATACAGCCAACATAAAATCTAGCTCTTCTATGTGAGGTCATTCAGCTAGCCTTATAAATAACAATGTTGGAATATTAGAGTGCTTTTTTATATATATTTACTAACAGAATGGTTAATTTTTGAAATATTTGTTTCAGAGTGTTGAAGGGGAGCACCACGAGAAAGCTGTGGAACTGCTAAAAGCTGCTCAAGGAAAAGTTAAGCTGGTTGTTCGATACACACCCAAAGTCCTGGAAGAGATGGAGTCACGATTTGAGAAAATGAGATCGGCAAAACGCAGGCAACAGAATTAATGTATTACATGTCACTTAAGGAAAAGCATGAACTTTGCTTGTCTGGAAACATCAGACAAGCAACGTTAGAAAAGGATGTTAATTTTGTTAATGCTTTGTCTTTTACAAATAACTCTTGAACATCTTAATGCTTCTGAGAAGAAAAGTTTACATGGGCGTTTGTAGCTATGTGGTTTTACAGATCCTTTCTTTAAAATTTAAACCTGTAACCATCAGAACAAATTTGTAAAGTGTTTTTAAAATACATTTTAATAAGCTTTTTTCAGCATTTGTAACATCTGTTTTCTAGTACTTTTTCCCATTTGGCATTACTTAAAACTGGAAATCTTTATTTTGGATACAGATATAAAACAAGTCTTACTCTTTTTGGCACTAAATTTAGTCTTCTACATACAGGTAGTCATAATTATGTGGTCAAGTACAATTAGTGCTTTTGATGAACAAGTTTCTATGCATGTTCTCAATCATAACTTTATACGGTTAATGACATCTTGGACACTTTCTTACCTCTTTTGTGAATAATTTGTAACAGGCAGTCTCTTATATTTAATGTTTCAGTGATTGACATCACTAGCAGCAATCATTCCTATAATTTAGATACTTTTGTACTAATTTCTGAATACTTGGAGAAAGTGGAAAGCATACCTGACTGTAGTTGTGTATTTATATTCAGTAAGGTAAAATTGCATGCAGTGCAGAAAAGATTGTATATGTACTCAAGACTTTCTTCTATTGTAAGTTACTTCTGCAACTGTGTCTACTTGTTCTCTTAACAGTGATGGATGTAACCCACATCAGGTACCTAAGTGGGTGGTGTGCTCTTCCTTCCTAGAGCATCAGAGTTCTTTCAGTATGCTGTTTGCAGTTGTCATAGTGACACAGAAAAGCTAACAGATAATGCAAATTCTTTTGTAAAAACACTCAGGCAGCAGACACTACTCTCTATCAGAAAAGGCATTCCTGGCTTGTGTAAATCCATTGGGCATGCTTCTAACCCAAAGTGGATAGCATTTTGGTACATCACATATAGTCCCCCCCCCCAGTTGTCTATGAAGTAAGTACAAATCCACAACTGAAGTTTCAGCAGCTGGCTTGTGCTAAGAGAGAGCTAGTATGTCTGGGGTGCTTAGAAAATATCCACCTGGCGTGCAAATAAATCCTTTTCTAGAATCTAGGAATCTCTATAAAGAGATTCATTTGGCTGGTGGTCTGCCAAAGTTATACTGTGGTGGGCTGTGCTTTGCAACTAAAGATTCCTGTTTCTCCCTTACTACTGTGGATGAAAATGCCTGACCAACATAGTTCTTTCATCCAGATGCTCTACCTCAAAACTGCAAATCCTTGAAGCTCTGTTTAAGTTTAAAGTTGCCTCACTCTTTTAGCATAAGCTGCCAAGCCAAAACAAAGAACTTGCAGCAGCTGGAGACACATTATTTTCAGCCGAGCCCCACAACTGTACAAGTTCATCTGGGGTTTAGAAGATCAGTTAGCAAAGAGACTCTTTGCTTTTGCAAATGTTGTTTTTTTATATATCTTGTCGTTGGTAGTGATGTGGTCACTAAGCTTGCTAGACCTGTGTGATAACTATAGTGGCAGTGGAGAATGAGTTCCTGCAGACATTACTGACTTGCATCATAGATGTTTTCATTGCTGCTCATGTTACTGTACCGGGTTAAACCTTCCAACTTTATTTAAACAGAGCGCTACTTAAACTTGCTTATAGACTGTATAGTTTAATCCTGGAAGCATTTGCACCACTTTCAGCTGTTCAGAAAGATGACACAAAGGACCAGTCTCTAATTCTCAAGTTAAATTTTTTGAGCCAAGAAACTATCTTGCTAATGCTTATCCAGAGAGAGAAAGTAGTTTGATCGATGGACAATGGGAAATACACTGAACTGTGTTGCTTCAGGAATATGGATTTTATTGGGATTTATTTCTGAGTAAGCGTGCCCAGGATGGCAAAGCTTTTCTTGCTGAATTTCAGTGTGTTGCCTTCCCTCAATCGCTTTGATTGAGCTTCAAGCCATTATGTTGACATCTTCAGCCTAACAATGTTGCAGGAAAATCATTTTTGTGAGGGGTGTATGTAACAGAGAGTTATTCTGCTTTTCTTAGAACCCCTGTCTTGAAAGCTTCAGTTGTACAAGAGATGCATGGAGCCCTGCTTCCACCCTTTTCTCACTAATCTGCTGCCACTATTCCCTACTCTGCCCGAGATGAAAATAGCCAGTGGTTCAATCTTTTCCCTTAATAACGAACTAAAACCTTGAAGAAACTTGAACATTCCTGGCTTGGTATATCTAGCATTAGCTTGGTTATCCACTGGATGTCAGTGTTCAGCTGTAAATGCATCCAAGTGGATAGGAGTAAGTGTTCTGCAACATGTCTCCTCTGCATGAACGACATGCAGTCAAATATAACTAGAGTGCCAATATAAAAGGTCAGGAGAGTAGATTTTTCATTCTGACGACAGCGTAAATCTTACATTTGTTTGGATGACCGGGGGGGGGGGGTAATCTAACAAAATTGATTCAAGTAACCTTAAATCCTTTGAGCGTTTGGACAGCATAAGCCTAAAGTAAATTGAAGATTTAGTGACTGAAGCCATGAAGCATGTATTATTATTATTCTTCTGTCTTTTTTGTCACTTTGGGCTTATCCACACTTACCTTTCCTCTGCTCTTTGCAGGCACGGTCCGCACTTTAAAGCTCCATGTATGAGCACCTTTTTTCCTTTTTGCCCCAGAGCTTTCCCTGTGAAAACCTGCTCTTTAAAGCTCAATCGGCGCAAACAGCAATCTGCAGGAAACACGAACTGACGTTTGATCCAATTGAGCACTAAAGAGCGGCTTTTTGTGGGGAAAGCTCTGGGGTAAAACAAATAAACATTTGGACACAGAGCTTTTAAGCACGGATCTGGGCCTGGAAACTGCAGGGCAAAAGGTAAGTGTGGGTGAGCCTTTAGATAAGTGAGCACTGAATTGCACGGTTTAAATATGTAGCCAGCTGCAGAAGGCAACCAGCTGTACCATGTTGGTGGACTGTATATTTTTTATGGAGCAATTAATATTTAAAATAATGAGACCAAAAGAAGTAGTTGGGCCAATCAGGAAGTATTTTATTTTAATTATATATAATACTAGATTTGTGTTGGAGGTTTCTATAGTAAAAATAATAGGGTCAAACAAATACTATAATAAAAATAGTTTAATCTACTTTTACTGAATATAGACATGTGTTTTGTTAATCTAGAAAGGGTTAGCTTGGGGTAGCCTGGGCTGCTGTCGAAAAGTGCTTATGGCTATAATCCTTTTGCCCGCTTGCCTGGGATTGATCACCATTGAATTTGATGGGACTTGCTTCTAAGTAGACATGTATATGGTCGCATTGCTAAGGGGTTTCATTATCAAGTCTGGCATATGGATTCAGTAGGCTCCAGGCCTTTTGGATTAAAGTCTGGTGTGTAGCAAATGGAGGCCAGACAGTGGCAAAATATATATTTGCCTCTTGCCTTTATTGGAATCAAAAGCACTGTGTAAAAGATGTGCTGCTAAACCCATCTCATATCCAAAATTTGGATCAGTAGAAACTGTGAAAGAGGCGCAAAGCCAGATAGATGTGTGTGTCTACTTAAAACTGGTCTCTCTTTTTCTCAGTTGCTGCAATACAAATGGGATCCTGAGCCCAGGTTGAAAGCCAGTTTTTAAAGTAAAGTTAGATTCGTTGGAGAATCAAGAAATGAACATATAAGATACTACTGAACAGGTGCAATGACTACATTGTATTGGTGTGTGCACATATGCAATAATTTAATAGCCAGCAAAAATTAAAACATAGACAATACTGTGTGTGTAGTCTTTATGTACTTAATTGCTGCTTGAGGGCCCTGTACATTTTTTAGGAACATGAAAATAAAGAATTGAAATTTCATATTTCTTGCTGTGTGAGTACTCTCTCTATTTCCTTATTGTCTTACTGATACAAATGAAACAAAGTTCATACTATCATTATAAGACAGCCACCATATTAGAGTATATTTATTTGGGAGACTCTTTTCAACACTCCTGGCTTCCCCCACAAAATACACTTCAGGGTTTTTCGTTGCAAGTTCAGTATTAGTATGGTACTACTAATACCTAGAGGACATGGGTGGTGCTGTGGTCCAAACCCCAGAGCCTAGGGCTTGCCGATCAGAAGGTCAGTGGTTTGAATCCCCATGAAAGGGTGAGCTCCCGTTGCTCTGTCCCTGCTCCTGCCAACCTAGCAGTTTGAAAGCACGTCAAAGTGCAAGTAGATAAATAGGTACCGCTCCGGCAGGAAGGTAAATGGTGTTTCCGTGTGCTGCTCTGGTTCGCCAGAAGCGGCTTAGTCATGCTGGCCACATGACCCAGAAGCTGTACGCCGGCTCCCTCAGCCAGTAAAGCGAGATGAGCGCCACAACCCCAGAGTCATTCACGTCCCTTTACCCTTTACCTTACTAATACCTAAGAAAGTATTAGGGCTTCAAATTACAGTGGTTTTCTGCTGAGATCATCTAATGCTGCTGTGGTAATGACATGATTGGCAGCCATTATTTTTTCAGGTTTATTATGCTGAAGAGTGAAAGTACCAGATACTGTTATATGAGAAACGGGGTATGTTTGTTCTAGGCAAGCTTTTCTCTTTTGATTGAAGTGTACCTGGGAATACATGCCACACAGTACTCAAGGTCTCCTCCCCATAAAAACAAATAACAGCCCAACAATTAAAATGGCACCAATAATATTGTGTAGATGTGCCTAGTGTGGCCTTTCTTTGCACAGTGGAGGCGAGTAAAGTGTGAAAGAAAGAAATTTGTAAAGGCATACAATGGGATTAAGCCAACCTACATCTTTTACAGAGATTTTATAAGTCTCCAGAATGGTTTTTCATAGCAAGTGTGGCTAACCTGTGACCCTCCAAATGGTGTTTGACTCCCAATTCCCATCATTCCCAGCTGGCATGACCAGCGGTAAGAAATGATGGAACAACAACTGGTCTCCCCTGTTTTCTAGGAGGCTGCCTTTTATAGAATCAGATCATTGGTCCATCTAATTGACTGTTACCTGTGTTGACTGGAGGCAGCTTTCCAAGGTTATGGACAAGAGTCTTGACTCTGCCTGGAGTTGAACTGTTGATCTTCTGCAGGCAACTCATTCTGCCACCGAGTTAAGCCCCTTCTCTTCTGAAGCTAAACTTCTGACTGATTGCTGCTGGCTAAGCAGGGCAGGTACAGCAAACTACTTCTAGGAAGGAAAACATTAAGAACTGCAAGTGACTACTTCTTTAAAAAGTTTTTAATTGGCTATAAAAGAGAAATATGGAGAGTAACAATGATACAAAAGTCCCTATGACCCTGCCAGTGGTGGGATATAGTATCCATAACTGTCTTCCTTGTTCGTCACAGGAAAAGAGTATACACCGAACACATCATCTGACTGATATTTTTCTTAAAGATTTACCTTTATTTTCAAATCATTGTGGAACCACAGAGATAAATAAACAAGAGCAAAAATTCAACCACATATCCAGCTAAAAGCAGGGCATACAAAACCTAAACACATTAAATAACATCTGTTAAAATAAAACCATGGCAACCATATTTCTCCTGATGGTGTGGGGAGAGATGCCTGTAAACCTGAAACTAAACTAGGGTATATGAAATAAAATCCCACCATACTGAATAGAAATGATCAGGATCTTCCTCTGTCCCTTAGTGACTCATCACTTGTGTGTTTTTGCTGAAAAAAAGTAACTAAATTCCAGATATTTTTATGCCATAAGGATATAGTCAGATAAAAAAGAAAAAGAAAAAAAGATTTCCACTGTTGTACTATAGAAATCATGTCATATGCTCCTTTTGGCAAAACGTCTTATTAGTATCTGCCCACACATTTAGTAGGGATAACTCGGGAGGAATTTGAATAATCTTTGATATCTGCTGATATATTTCATTCCAGAATAAAGCAACCTGTGAACATTCACACTATGGATGGGGGAAAGCCCCTTTATTCCTACAACCTCTCCAACAGTTCTGGACTGCATTGGAAGTAATATGAGATAGCTGAATGGGTATGCAGTACAATGCCATCAGTGTTGAATTTTTAAGGAACATTCTCACATGTGCAGATAATGGTTTGCACAGCTTAGAAGTCCAAAGTGCTTTTCAGTCCATGTCCTCCTCTATACAAATATTTAAATCCTTTTCCTAAGAGGATTTTAAACCTGATAAACTGGCTGATAATTCCGTTATAATCCAGATAATGGCTTCTGCCTCACAGAGAACGAGACCTACTATGTCTGAGAATCATAACATCCAGATTTTTAGTGATGCCATGGGCAGCTTGTTCTTCAGCCCAATTTTGTTAGTACTTAATTTGCCGCCATACTGCATAAAATGTGACTGCTTTCTTCATTGCCTTTCAATACCTTAACATCATGTGTATTCCCCCCCCCACTACAGCTAGTCTCAAGCCATTTTTAAAACATACATCTAAGTTTTAAACTATGCAATTCCCTCCACATTTGGACATTGGAGAATCTTGTTGCCACTAATAGGAAAATTGGGGGGGGGGCTGTCTTCATCTGTTTATCCCTTTAGTGACTGATAGAAAAGACAACTGAGGTGTGAAATCTATTGGTGCATGTATATTTATTTTTACTGTTGCAAGTGTTTATCTCCCCAGAAGGTCTGTGCTACTGAGCAACCCCACCATAAATGATGGCATGTCCCACTAGGATTGTAATCTTTCCAGGTAAACAGTTCTGGAGATATCAGATGCCACATGGGAAAACTGGAATGGCGTCCTATGATTTTGATTGTATTTTCCCTAATATATGATTTTGATTGTATTTTCCCTAATATATGGATAGATAGATCTGGCAAGTTTGGTTCACCAGACAGTTTCCCAATCTTGCTCACGTACATTGTAGAACAATTCACTCTTCCATGTTTGCTTCAGTCCTGACAAATTTCCCACTAGTTCTCCATTACTTTGTTAAATCATTATTTTGCAACTGGGGCCAGTTGATCATACCATTTCTTCATACCGTGTGAAAGGCATACACGCATACATTTTAAAGTCAGGCTCCTTCAATAAGTGATGGAATTGGTATATTTGTACCTATTTGTACCCTAGGGCTCCTGTGCCTGCTTGAAGTTGTTCTTAGGAGGAACATGACATTATTCTACAAAAGCCCACCCCCTAGCAGCTAAAGTTAGCACAACAGAGTCCTTGCTGGGATGAGGACATATTACCCACATCAGCCTTTCCTGGAGATCCATTGTCTTCTTTCCACCTCCACCCCCCACTTATGATTCCTATTGCACCCACCACAAAACAGTAAAACTCTGTGAACCACTGCCAACTATCATTCAGAAATTTGACAGGTTTTGTCTATTCAGAAGGAATCACCATGCCTGGAAATTACATCAAAGTCTTGCAGAAAATAGTATACAAACCAACCACCAAACTTTAAAGGTGAATTGCAGG